CTCACTGTTCTACAGCTGAGCCACACCCTCTAACCCCTTCCTGGGAGATTCTAGACAAGTGTTCTGCTTCGGAGACAGACTTTCAGCTTACTGGGGCAGTCTAGGCAGGGGCTCTACCACTGAGCCACACCCCAGCCCCTCACTGGGGGATTCTAGGCAGGTGACCACTGAGCCACACCCCAGCCCCTCACTGGGGGATTCTAGGCAGGGGCTTTACCACTGAGCCACACCCCAGTGGGGGATTCTAGGCAGGGGCTCTATCACTGAGCCACACCCCAGTGGAGGATTCTAGGCAGGGGCTCTATCACTGAGCCACACCCTAGGCCCTCACTGGGGAATTCTAGGCAGGTGTTCTAATGCTGGTGGACACCCCAGGGATGAGTTTTGCTAAGTTGCTGAAGCTGGCCTTGAGTCCCTAAATATAAGTGATCCTCCTGTCTCAGCCTGCTGAGTAGCTGGGGCTAAAGGCCTATGCTATTGAACCTGGGTGGCAAGATTTTAAAAATTAATACATTCCCATTTTTCCAAGAAACAGTCAGAGTACATACCTCAGAGCAAGTCCCTTTCTCACTGGCTCCTGAGAACAAACACAGTCCAGGTGTCTTCTGCTTCTTTCTGGAAATCGTTAGAGTCTAGTGTGTTGAGAGATAGTAGTTTTAAAGTGTAAGCACTGTTCGATTTGCTGATTTTTGTTAAGTATATCTTTTTTAAAATTCACTTTACATCCTTGTAAACCCATTCCTCCTCCCTTCCCATTCCACCCTCTCTTCCATCCCCTCCCCCTCCCTCACTCTGCTTTTCCTCAGAAAAGGGGAGCTCCCTTTCCCATCCAGCCTTGACTACGTATATCTTAATGACCATACCGTCTCACATAGCATTTTTGGATTCATGTAAATTTTTTTCCTGTTTTTAAAAATGACCACAGAATCATTCATCAGTGGCCATGCCAAGTAATGTTGTTCATAGGCAGTCACGCTGGTTCCAGTTTTCCCTTTTTTTGCATCTTAATGCCTTTCAGATGTGGGGACTCCCTGTGTTCCTGTTTCGGTGTGACTTGTGACTCATGATGATTCTGTGTTCTGGTCCCTCACAACCCCTTCCTCTCAACACGTTGGATTCTCTTACTAGTACGTCACCGTATCTGACACTTTGAGGGTGGACAGGCTCAGTAGGTAATAAAACAGTGTTGGCCTCGGTTTTATGACCATCCACGCCCTCCGGGTTGTCTCTGGACTGTGAGAATGCAGGTCTTGTTCTTGTTAGAAAGCATCTGCTGGGGCTGGGGAGACGGCCCAGCTGATCAAGCTCTTGATGCTAAGCATGAGGACCTGAACTTGTACTTCAGCACCTATGTTAAAAGCTGGATCTGGCAGGGCATGTCTGCCATCCAGCCCTGGAGACGTGGGCACCAGTGGATGGCTCTCGGAGCTCATTCGCTGCACACTATCCACGAACTCTGAGCTTCAGGTTCAGTGAGTGACCCTGCCTCAGAAAATGAGGTGAGATTGAGGAAAATTCCTGCCATCAATCTCTGGCCTCCATATGTGAGCACGCGCATGCACATGCGCGCGCGCGCGCGCGCGCGCACACACACACACACACACACACACACGATGTGGTGGTGTTTTAAAAGTTTTTGGAAGCAAGTCAGTCTAAGACTTTGATCCTTATAGCTGTGACCAGTCCTGTCCGGAACAGTGGATATGCTGCACATTGGTGGAAGGCTCAGTCTCCTCCTCGCTGTGTAGTCTGTTTCCGTGCTGGCAGGAGGCAGCGTGGTATTCAGTTTGGAGACCCCTGTTGGCTCACATATGTCCTACAAGGTTGGGAAAAGGAGTGAGGGAGCCCTTCAGAGTCCCTGACTGCCAGCAGCAAGTGGCACAAGGTGCCCTGGCTCTACAAGGTGATGTTGGAGGTGGGTCCTGTTCATCAGGCTACACTCAAGTAGTCTGGCTCGTCTGGCTAGGGAGACATTTCAGAATCAGGGGCAGATGGGAGCTGGGTTAGGAAGCAGAGCTGACCATGTCCTTTATTTTGTTTATGGTGTGTGTGTGGGGGGTCACCTCACTGCCTTTCTCTGACACATGTCTGTGGATGCCAGAAGACAACCTCTGCTGTCACCCCTCAGGTGCCATCCATCTCATTTTTTTGAGATGGTTTCTCATTACAGTGGGAGTTGTTTTGTAGGCTGGGTGCCCCCTGAGCTCCAGGGGCCCCATTTCCTCTGTGACAGTTGGCTGACCTGCAGTGTTTATGTGGACATTGAGATTTGCCTCAGGTCCTTGAGCTTAGTCAACAGCCTTGCTGACTGGACCTTCTTTCGAGCTTAGTTATTTTTGGTCCTGGGGTTTGGACTCAGAGCTTCATTCACAATAGGTGAGAGCTCTACACTGAGCCATGCACTGGCTTTTTGTTTAGTTTTTTGAGCCACAGGCTCATGAAAACCAGGCTGGTCTCAAACTCTGTATGAAGCCGAAAATGACGACCTTCTGATCTTCCTGCCTCTACCTCCTGAGTGCTGGGGTTACAGAGAGGCACCGCCGTGCCCATGCACCATGCTCTGACTTCATCCCCAAAGCACTAAGTGGGAAGGCTAGGAGCCCTAAGTTCCCTTAACGTTCAACACCCACAGACGTGAAAGAGGCGGGGTGTGCCTCCTGTTCTACGGCTGGAGCCCAGACTTCCTCAGACAGGCAGCAGGATCCCTGTTGGAAAGGCAGCCAGCACTGGTTTTCTGTTTCTCCAAGTTGTGCGTGTGCGTGCGTGTGCGTGCGTGTGTGTGTGTGTGTGTGTGTGTGTGTGTGTGCGCGCGCGCGCGCGCGCGAGTGCTTGCCTGCCTGGAAGGAAACATCAACTTCTCCCGTTCCTGTCATATTTCAATATTGGCTTTTTTCCGCCCTTCGCCAAGTCTCCCGTTATAACTTCTTCTGCTGCTTAAATATAGCCGTCTAAGTCCTTCTTGCCAGATTGTTTATATTTTTGCAGGCCTTCTGCGATATCTGTGGCTGCTTGCTTGCCTCTCTCTCCATCCCACTTCCCCACGTTGGTGGCGGCTGCTCTTTTTCCCCTGCCTCCTCTTCTCTGGGATGACTTTCAAATGTGGTCTATCAAAACGCCCAGTGTTTCCCTCTTTTCTGCAGTAGCTTTGACATCTGTTCTTGAATGCTAGCCCACAGTATTCCTTTGGATTTGCTCACCCAGGATTTGTTTGAATGCCAGAAACACTATAGGGGAGAGTGTGGCATGAGGCCTCTCCCACCTCACAGTTCCCCTCTCCACATTTAAACTGTCTTAGGATGTCTTAAGTTGACAGCATGCCGGTCGGTTGTTCCAGCTCTCTGTCATCTTGTCTGGCCACAAGCCCACCATCATGGTACCAGGGAAGCGTCACTCAGGATGGCTTTCTGGCCCCTGGTTGTCTCCATTAAGAAGGAAGCAGGCGGCTGGGAATGTTGTCCAGTTCATTGAGTGCCTAGGCTGCAAGAAGCCTTAGGATTCCTTCTCCACAGCACAGAGTGGGGGTTTGTGCCTGTGACTCCAGCACTAAGGAGGAGGAGGCAGGAGGATCAGAAAGTACAGGCTGTCCTCAGCAGGGCCCTTCCCCTTACCTTGACACCCCTCTGGGAAGTTCTGTCAGGCAGGTTGACTTTCACTTTTCATCCCAGCCTCTCTCAGGTGGTAGTTGGGCGTGTCTTTTGAGTGAGGGACACGTGCCGCCAGTTCCCTTACACACACCCCTCCACATCGTTATGCCCTCTGGGAAAGGGGCACACCTGCGCTTAAGATGTGGCGTCTCTGCCCCGGCACTGCCTCATGTGTACCCATAATCCCAACAGTTGGGAAGAAGGTAGAGGTACCAGAGTGAGGCGTTCAGGGTCGTCTTCAGCTTTAGAGTCTGAGGTACATGAGACCGTGTCTGGGGAAAATTGTGACTTGTCTCAGGAGGTACATTTTGTGCTCCTCCTGGTCTTTTAATTCTCTCAGAAATAGGGTGGTGGGACCTGCTGTGGAGCGGCGTCACTGATGCCACACAAGCGCTCTGCTCTGCGCGTTCAGTATCTGACTCACTTGACTTAGCTTATTGATATGGCCTATGTGCCTGCCTGTGAGCCTGGTCGCCAGCCTGGGCCCACCTGCTGTGTGCTGCCCTGGGCAGCCCCTCAGGGCAGATTTTCCCCGGTCACTGTGTGGGACTGACTGATGTTCCCAGCAGAGCCCTCAAACCTGGCCAGAACTTCCCTGGGGGCTCCTCAGATTCCAGGGCATGTGGGTTACCTGAAAAGCCTACAGGATAATGGAAATAAGTGTTCTTAGAATTTGCTTCTAAAGGTCCCTTTGGCAAATTCATAGGTTAATGGTTCCAGTTGGGATGCCTGACATAGAATAGAGGAGACTTTTTAATTTTCTGTTTTCTTTTTTTTGTTTTTTCAAGACAGGGTTTCTTTGTGTAGCACTGGCTGTCCTAGATTCACTTATGTAGAACAGCGTAGCCTCAAACTCATAGAGATCCCCCTGCCTCTGCCTCCTGAGTGCTGGGCTTAAAAGCGTTCACCACCACACCAGGCTAGAGTAGGTTTTCAAGAAATATTTGTTGAGTGGAAACAAACCAGCTGTTGTTCTTTGAAGTCTCAGTTCTACATTGTAGAAGGCCAACCATGTAGAATCCCACTGGGAAAACACTATGTTAGGCAAGGGACCAGAACCCAGGAGAATGGCCTAGAGAGATGTGGGGGCACTGAGCCAACTGTGGGTTAGCAGGGAGACAGTTTCTGCCTGTGTTGTCACAGGAAGGAACCGCATCATGCCGAGAGAGTGTCTGGGACAGTGCTGGGTGGGTGCGTTTTACTTATGGTCCTTAACATTGCCCCTGAGCCTTACTTCCTGCCCAGGAACTGATTCCCAGGGGTCTCTAATCTTTGTTCAGGCCCAGTGTACACATGATCCCTCTAGTAGAAACTGCAAATTATAATCTTGTTTTTCCTTTCCGGATCTCCTTACAGAGAGAACTTGATGCCACCGCAACAGTACTGGCAAACAGGCAAGATGAGAGTGAACAGTCCAGGAAGCGGCTTATTGAGCAGAGCCGAGAATTCAAGAAGAACACTCCAGAGGTGAGCTGGGACCATGTCACAGTCTTCAGAAGGGGGCCTGATGACCCCTGAGAACACGTTTTGAGACATTTCCTAGTTCTCCAGAAAAATTGCATGGCAAGATGCCTGCTTCGCTACCCGTATGCCTCCCACCCTCACTCAGGCTGTGAGGGTGTGGACCAGTTGTTAGGGTCAGTAAGACATCTGTACAGACGTTGCCTAGGCTGGCATGTAGCCGTGGCAGACCCTCACTGCGTTCTAACTTCTGGTACGTCAGGATTGTGTTAACTGAAGTCTTTGGGGCCACCATGGGCCAGTGAGCTCAATGCCAGCTTCCACGATGCTAGGTAGCAGTGTGTTCAAAGATGGCATTGCACCAAAATTTCTGGTAAAACCTCATTTCCTCTGCCATGGGCTTTCTTGTATCTCTGTGTTTCTTGACACAGGTTGTCAGGGACAGTCTAGAGGCCGGGCTTCTTTTTCAAGAATTTGTTGGAAGTCATTATTAGTGACTTTTCATTTCCATGGTAAAGTGTCTGACAAAAGCAGCTTAAGAAAGAAGGGACTTGCCTGGGCTTACAGTCTCAGGGAAGGCCTGGAGCTTGGGGCATCTGGTCCATTCCGCTGTCAGGAAACAGGTTAATGTTGGTGCTCAGCCGGCTTTCTCTCTGTCATGCAGTCTGTCCTTGCCCCACTGTAGTGCAGGGAGCATTGGCGTGCACACCATCCTCAGTGTATGGCTGCTGGCCGTGGGGCCTGGGAGTGCCATGCCTGCCAGGCAAGGGTTCTGCCAGCTGAGGTGGTCCTGTTACTTTCACCTGTCTAGCTGTTCCTGTTTATTGTTTGAGACAGGGCCTCCCCATATAGCCTAGGCTAGTCCTCAGACCCACCGTCTGAGGCTCCTGCCTGAGGCTGACATAACTGTACATCTCCTGTTGGACAGCTGTTTTCAGGCCAGAGTTTAGGTGAAAGCAGAGGTGGGGTCAGTTAGCACCCTCGGGGATGGCCGAGGTACGGTCGTACAGTGTGGGGGAGGCGCCGTGGCCATGTGCGTGCAGTCCCTGGTGAGTGGAAGGCGTGGGTCCTGCAGCTCTGCTTAAGGTTATGCCTGGGTATCTTTGCTCCATCGGTCACTTGTGGTGGTGAACCACCCAGCCAGTCAACTTCTAAAACCGTAGCTTTATGTCACAATAAATTCACGGGTGTTTAGCAGCATTGGTTATATTTTTTATTCTAAAAATTCTGCAGTTACTTTGTAAGTAAAAAGTTTCTTAAGAAAGCTTCATTTCCTATGGATTTTTAAAAATTATTTACATAATTTTAGGAACAACCTGGGCCAACCCAGGCTGGCCCAGACCTCACTATATGGCTGAGAATGTTGTTGAATTTCTGATCCTCTTGCCTCCAGCTCCCATGTGTGCTGAGATATAGACACTACCACATTTGTTTTCGTGGTGCTGGAGATGGAACCTAGGACCTCATGCATGGCAAGCCTCCTCCGTCTTAGTCCCATACCCACCCTCCATGTGGAACCAAGAGCTGCTCTTTGAGTAGAACAGGCATTACCTCAAAAAACAGCTTTTATTCATAATTTTTCACCTTTAAAGTGTATTCTATTGTGTGTGGGGGTGTTCTGTCCTCACATATGTCTCTTCACTTCGTGTGTGTGTGTCTGAGGAGACCAGAAAGGGCTTTAGAAGCCCAGGAGCTGGAGGTGTAGGGAGTTATAACCCACTATGCAGGCCCTCTGCAAAGCAGCAAGTGCTCCTAACCACTGAGCTATCATCTCTAGCCCCAGACAATGGGTAGCTTGAGGGCCTATTTCTTTTCCTGTTATTTGCTGCCTGTGACTTGATGACTGCATAAATTTTGAAGTAAAGATATACAGATCTAAAGTTCTAATATTATTACCCCCCCCCCAAAAAAAAAGTAATACCAGGCCCTGCTCAGAGAGCGTCTGTGTGCACGTGACCTGTGCACACCTGTGTGTAACGTGTAACGAGGTCAGTCTGCGTGTGCCTTTGAAGGGCTGCTTGTACACCTGGCACCTGTTGCCCATGGAGTATCACCCAGCTGTTGAAGAAGTTAAGGCAGCAGGATCTCTGGTTCCAGGCCAGCCTGGTGTAAAGAATGAGCCTAAGCAAGTTGCTGAGACCCTGGCTTAAAATAGGAAGTAAAAATAGGGCTGGGATCATGCGGTTCAGCTGTACAGTACTTGCATCGAGTCCCGCAGTGAGGGCCAGGGGCATCCCTTGGGAATGAAATGCTGGCTTAGCATGCACAAAGCCCTGGGCTCGGCCTCACCTAATATAACATAAAACAACCTAGTGTTAGCTTAGAACATTAGAGAATGCTTTAGGTATAGTGTATCTTTGTTTCGTGAAGCTAGCTTAGGGGGCTTAAAAAAAAAGAAATCTAATTTAATAGTTACCAGTTTAAAATACTCCCCGAGGTGGTCTGTACTGACGGTTAATCACTCTGCTATTAATGGATGCTATACATGCGCCGGACAGTTGCGTCCTGGGGAGGAAATCCCTGTTCTTCAGAGTCTTATCTCCTCCACCAGGCAGTAGACCATGGCCATGTGGCAAGCCGAGTGCTGGGATCCCATAGCTGGCATCTTCTGCTGAAGTCTTTCCTTGCACCATACACACACCCATGTGACTGGAGTCTCTGTATGAGCCACAGATGGCTCAGTAACCTTCCGTGTAGATAAACACTTCTGCTTTCTCAATCCCTCTTCCTCCCTTCCCTTCTCCCTTACTCCCTTTCCCTCTCCCTTCCTCTCCTTCTCTTCCCTCCCTTCCTTTCCCTTCTCCCTCTACTCCCTCTCCCTCCATCTCCCCCTTCACTTCTCCTTCCCCCTCTACTCCCTCTCCCTCCCTTCTCTTCGTCTTTCTCCACTCCCTTTCCCTCTCCCTCTGTTTCCCTTCCTTTCTCCCTTCCCTTTTCTCTTCCTCCCCCTCTTTCCCTTTCTCTATTTTCTCTTCCTATTCCCCCTCTCTTTTTCTTTCTTTCCTCCACCCCCTCCCCCTCATTGGGGAGACCTTTGCTTTTTTTGTCTGTTGGGAGGGAGGGTTTTCAAGGTTGTAGAAGGAGGGATGGGCCCCTTGCCTTTCTACCTTTTGCAGAGGTGAGGAATTAGAACAGGAAGAGGAGTCAGAAGAACGTGAAACCAGGAGCATGGCTCCTGTCTGTAGTCCCTGAACTATGGTGGGGAGAAAGGAGGGTTGCTGGGAGTTTAAGGCCAGCCTGGGGTAAAGAAAGGCCTCAGTGTTAGAAATAGGAAGGACCGCATAGAGGGTAGTAGTACTTAGCTGTGGCTGGGGCCCAAGTGCATTTAGTCACCGCATGGCTGCCTTTTATAGCCACGCAGAAGTGACTCAGCTTGGAAAAAGAGAGTCACCTAAAATAAAGTTGCCTCTCCAGTGGGGACACATCTTGTTCACATGCACCCAGCTGGCTGGAGCTTGCAGGGCTGTGGCCTGTAGAGGGCCCGGTGCTCAGGTACAGCTACTCTGCAGTCACCAGGTGGGGTTCAGGAAGGCCACATGTGACGGTCAAGCAACATGCTGGCATTGTGGTGTGCGTGTGGGCGGGGAGAGACAGAGAGAGAGTGTGTGAGAGAATGAGAATGAGCGTGTTCTTGTGTGTGTGCCATTGAGTGGCTATTGGCCACTCGGCACTCCCTTGCTTTCAAGCCTTGCAGGCTGCTGTGACTTGAATTTACCTGTCAGGTTTCTCTCTCCCTGTGTGGCCCTTGTTGTCCTGGAACTACCTCTGTAGACCAGGCTGGCCTCAGGCCCAGGGATCTGCCTGCCTCTGCTGGGGTTAAGGACATGTGCCACCACTTTTGCCTTTGTTTCACCCCTCCTTGAAGTCCAAGCAGACATGGCATCTGGGCTTTTCTGTTCCATGCTAAATGTATTCAGTCAACTGTATTGGAAACCCATGGATGTACCCGGTGTCATTGACTGTGGCTTTTAGGGAAGGTCAGCCAGCAATGTCTTTCCAGACATGGGCCTCTCAGCAAGGACCTTAATGCCTAGATGTGCTCTAAGCTGGTCACATGCTAGGGATGTGGCCATCTCCGACACAAGCGACCTGGGGACCTGTGCGTACACTCTAGGGGGTCTATGGCCCCTCCTTTTCTGGCTCTCAGCATTCTGATCACCCTGGGGTTGCAGGTGTGCTGGGGTGCTCAGGATTTGAACTTTGGTCTTTATGCTTACACAGCAAGCACTTTAGCAACTTCTCAGAAGGCTGCTTCTTATTTTTGAGACAGAGTTTCGCTGAGTTCCCCAGAGTAGCCTATTACTATCTTCCAGAAATTCTTCTCTTTGTGGGGTCTGTGGGGAACCCACGGCAACTTTTTAATTCAGTGTTTTCTCCTCCAGAGAAGATCTTTGTGTAAAGCCAGTGTGCACATTTTTGCTTCACTGTCAAGAGGTCACTAGTATCTGGCAGAATTATAAAGCCTGAGTAATCAACCTGGGTGTTTAATCATTCTAGAGTCACCTACCATAAAGTTACAATACAATAAGATTTTAACTAGAAAAAGCTTAAAAATTAAATGGAAGCTCTAAGTGTTACCAGTTAAACATGTTCAACCAGAACAAAAACTGAAGTAGTTTTATATTGTGAGGAGACCCCAGGGGAAAACTTGCCCTGAGGACCTAGCAGAGCCTGCTCTGTGCTGAAGAACAGAGGGGTTCTGGTTGTGTGCAAGCGTGGGCGAGCACTGCTCGTGCAGGCTTCCCCACACACAGTGCCCCTGCTTCGGGCGTTCATCTGTGGGGTGTCGTTGCCTGGCTCCAGGAGTCTCATCCAGGAAGATAAAGGTCTGTGCCCACACACCTGTTGCAGATGTCCAGGCCTTTTGACCCTGAGCAAGATCCCTTCCTGTTCTAAAATCTAACTGAGCAGCTCTCAGACGGTCTGTATAGGGCAGAAGTCCCTCAGGAAAATTTTCAGATTTGGAAATAGGTCTGTAGACCTGTATCAGTTACGCATCTCTAGTA